AAATTAACCACACGTCACAAATGTATATGGAAACCAACCGAGTTCTCATCCATATGCCAGATAAGTGTGATCTGTGCAGATAAACCATAACGATTTAACTGTGCCGTTACAAATGGTTACGATGTATTTCATCCCACTGACATAAACATCTGCGCAAATCGTTACAATTTAACTGCGCGGTTAAAAATCTTTGCAATTTATTGTGCAAACTAAACCGTTTCTAATTCACAAATAAATCTACAGTTTGATAGTGTAAATAAATCGTATATGTAGTTTTAACAGTGTAGTTCAAAACCGCTACGATTTTTTCGATATAAATATCTGGACAAGTCAAAGGATTTCTCAAGCTCACGTCAGATAAATCCGCACAGTTTGGAATGTGCAGATAAACCACAGCGATTTAACTGTGTAGTTAAAAATCATTGCTATTTATTTCATCCGCAAAGGATAAATATTAGTGCCAACGATCGATTAGATAAATCTGCACAGTCTGATCAGTGCAGTTAAATCATCATGATTTAACTGTGCAGTTAAAAATTACTAGGATTTTCTATTCAGTTAAATCTAGTACAGTATACTATAACAATTTAATTGTACAGTTAAAAATAGCTACAATATATACGATATAAATATGTGTGAAGCAAACAATACAGAAAAATCTCCAAATTTAACTGTACACTAAAAAATTGTTACGATTTATTCCACGTATGTAACAAATATCTGTGCAAACCAAACAATTTCATATCCACGAGTCAGATAAATCTGCACAGTTTGATCAGTGCAGTTAAATGGTCATGAGTTAACTCTGCGTTAAAAATCACTAGTATTTATTTCATCAACACGGCATAAATAGATATTTATCTGTGTAAATCATCCATACGTCAAATAAATCTGTACAGTTTGATCTATGTAGATAAACCATAAGGATTTAATTGTGCAGTTAGAAATCAATATATATTTCATCTATATCTATATCTCAACAAAGTAAACGATTTTCCATTCACAAACCAAATGCACAGTTTGACAAAATAAATCGCAACAGTGCAGTTAAATGTATCTACTATAATACAACGATTTAACTGTGCTACAATTTATTTTTTATATACAGGGTGTATCTAAATAACACCGAAAAAATTCAAGGGGCGATTCTCCGATAAAAATTAATAGGGGTCTTTGGTATAAAATTTTTTGAAAAAACCCTCCCCTGAAAAGTTACGCCCCTCCTAAAATTACAAAAAAAATTGTTTTTCTTTTTTATCTTCCATGTACATCAAGCTAAAGAAACCAAACTTGGTGAACATTATCTGTCAATAAAACTACACTTTTTGAAATTTTTTCAACCCTGAACTATTTTTGTAAGGGGTTGAAATAATCAACCCCTATGACATTTTTTCTTATAATTTTTTTTTC